CTCATTAAAATGGTGGAAATTCAGTTCATGCAAAGTGAGGCCATACATTGAGTTAAGTGTTTCTAGAATACTGAATTGAACTCGAAGGCGTGGCGCATCTTTGCAGTGATATTTCTTCTGTAGAAATAAAAAACTTCCATTCTCCCATTCTATTCCGATCGGCCAATGAGAAGGAGCAGCTTGCAGAACTTTATTTCTGGGCCATTCGGAGATAGTTGTTTCTTGTTGAAATGAACTTAGATAAGTTATTCTCCCTGCTTCTTGGAGAAAATCGGCATGGATGCTAAGCTGAATAGGGAACAAGTGTGTGATCTTTGTTTTGCAATAGCACTGGTTACTGTAACTGGGACTGATGTCGGACAAAAGAGAAGAGAAAATGGAATGATGGAATGTTTACACCAGTATTTTACCGTCATAAGGAATTGGAATGGCTTCTTTTGAGCGTTAGTGTCACGTTAAAAGTGTTGAGATAGAATTTTGGAGGGCTAGGTAGGTAGGTGAGGGGGGGAGGGTCAGAGGACCCTAGAGCAGATCAGACTAGTGGTAGTTCACCAACAAGGAGATCGATGAAGATTTTCAGGAGAGGGTAGTATTTTGGTTTCTGTGTGTTGCGATCATGAAAAGTGGAGATCGTATTGAGGTTTTATGATTTGGTATGGAAACCGATGTTGTGGTGGTAGTGTTGCGGTGGAGGGATAAAGGCTTTTTTTGACAAGTTTTTTTTTGGCATTTTCGGTGAGAAACAAAGGGCACTAAGTAGAGCACTTTTCGATACATTGGAGACATTAATTGCTGTTTCCCTCCAACCACCCCCATCCCCCGCTCGGCTTCCATGGTTTTTGATTTTGAGACACTTCCTGTATTAGGGAATACGCAAGTAGGGTTGAATTGTCTCAGAATCAAACATATAGAAACATGGAACATGGTGGCGATGGTGGGATGTGGGGTAGTGGGGGGGGGGGATAATTTGTGCTCTCCAAATGACAGTGGTAGATAGGGAAGGAACCTCGTCTCATGCCGAGGAATTCACCACAGCTTCGCAATGAGTAGCGAAGGATCGAAATGTGCTCTTTCGAACAAAATCGTGGCGATGCTTGGGACCCATTATGTTTCACATCTTTCAATTTGAGAAGAGGTACCGGAATAGACATGAAGTCTTCTAAAAGTAGCTAATGAATTAGTTATGGGAAAGAAGATCCTCTTGTCCGCTACTGGATCCTATCATGACGTTGCTAAATCAGTGATCATTAGGTGATCCTTTGCTGGTCACAACAGGCCTATCGCTTCGGAGTAGAAGTTATCAGGAAACTGATAGGGCTGGCCAGACCCATGGACACCGTCACACAGTCGGGCAGCAACTCCAACGTGTATATCATCTTTGGCTTGCTATGGAAGGGACATACTGAAGTAGCCGTCGCAACGAATTTATTTCTGGAAAGGTGGTGAGAACAGAAATTGAAACGTCTTTGAGGATTTCAATTGAATCGCTAGGAAGTTTGGACAATCGGCAGGGTCAGTAAAGGAGCGAAATCAGTTAGAGTTCATATAGAAGTTAAATTGGCAGGTGGTAATTGAAAAAATTCGTCCACAAGTGCAAGTGTAGTTTGTGATGTTCCTCTTATCAACTCCCTCACTATTAGACTGCTGAAGGAAATTTTCGGATTTCTGAAGCTAACTGTTGCAGGGTTTTTGAAGATATCTTATATACAGCACCATTTACCACCTCTACTTTTTTCCGGCTTCCCACTTTGTTGTCCCATCTGCTTCGTCTCGATACCTGGATGTTTATTCTTTCTGACCTCTGTATTGTGTGGTCACTTCTAAAGTGACTTGCCAGGGTGAATATCGGTCGAGGATTCCTCAACGGCACGTCGAGGATTTCTGCCTGATCAGTTACGTTCTCCCGCGCGGACATTCACACTCGCCATGCGCGTGCCGTCTGTGCTCTCCGCGCGTACATTCACTCTCGGCACTACTCTCGCACAGTACAGCCCGTTATTCAACCTGCTTGGTATTATAAATCAGTGAAATCAGCTATGTATGATGAGAACCTCATCCCTTTCTGTGTGGAAAGCCTGAGGGCAGTGGCTGTGATGATGGCATGTTGGAGACCATTAAATGGGACCTTGGAACTGCTGCCTAGTTGGTCTTGAAGAGCTTTAAATCAACAATGATCCACCGATCTGCATCCAGTGTCCAACTTCTGACCGTTGCATTTGATATGGCCTTGCGAGACAATCCATCTAACTGTATTTGAACGTCCTTGCAAGCACGATCGGTTGATATCGTTTTCTACTGAAATATCTGTAACTCTTGAACGAAGACGAAGACTGCTTGCATTCTCTGGTGAAGATTGCGAAAGCTTCGATCGATCATTTTGCAATTGCATAAACATTTCAGTATCAAGCCTCGGTCGTACGTCGTTTTTGATGAGACCGCATGCTGCTTAGGAAATTCTGTATTTTTCGTACCGTTCATTCGAATATTGCAAAAAAGCGTTTCTCGTTGATGATCGTCATCCTGACATTGATAATCAGCCACTACTTCTTGCCAATTTCAGAGTAAACTAACAACACTAACATGTGCGTGATCCTCCTCTGCATCCTGGCCATCTTCTGCCCGGTTAGTTTTTTTTATTACTCCTTGAATTTCGCTTGTCCCGAAAAAATTTGCTAACTAAGAACTTGAAGACTGCTCATCTTTTCAAGAAAATTTCAAGAGTTGTATTTCTCAAAGTAAACTTTTTTGCCAATACCAGAACAATCTAATTCCTCAGCATTTTTGGTTTCATTATTGGTCACGGGCCCTTTTGGCGCAGAGCATCCCATACTTTCAAAACCTACAAACACCATTGTTCATTATAAAGGCTCAGAAAATAGTATTTTTCTCATTTTCTTTCTGCACAAGCTAAGTGCTCCTCCATCTCGGAGCTTCATTACCTTGCGAAAAATATATTGCTGTGGGCGACACAAACCTGAAACTTCATGGTACTACATGAGGCCCACATCACGATGAGTGGCAGAGGCGTAGGAGTTTGTTTTGAGCTGATTGTGTAACTTATTATCGTCACGTCCAAATTGCCTACTGTCCATGTTTTATGAGAAAGCCGGAATTGTCAATTTGGTCGTGACATAACAAAATAAAAGGGTACCCGCCCCAGGAGGCCCGTACGCGCGCATAATAAGGCATGATGTGCGGCGGACACGAGTTTGCATGGCGGCCGTGGTGTGCGATGTATGGACTGCACAGTGGGACATTTCTCTGTTAAGTTGACCGCCGAATCTATAGTGGCGGACGGGCCCTCCTGGGGGGTACCCCCCAAAATAATGGGGTCGCAACAAACCTACCTTCAGCAGCAAGGGTGTTCAATTGTTTTGGTTCTCCAGAAGGTCCGACCATCTAACTGTCGTCACTTGGATTTTCTAAAATGGCAGCTTGCCGGATTTCTTTTATTGAAAGGAGCTGACCTAAGTAAGTGGCGTGCTCCGATACTGTGGTTTGGTACAGGAAGACGTGCATCGACGGCGCGCCTGTGGCACTCCTGCGCAAGTGTGTTCTTGGTGATACACATTCGCACAGTAATTAACTCCATTTCAGTATTTGCTGTGGAGTCCGTCAGCTGTGTAGTCCAAACTTGCCATAATCTTTTGTTTGTTGTTGAGTCTTAGGAACCCTCTCTTTACCTTCTTGTTTTCTTTGGGTCTTTAACACTAGTTTGTATGATGAATTATCCTTTGGTAATGAGGAAGCTTGATTATCCCAAGCAAAAGTGGGAGAGAGGAGGTAAAGAAGCATCCGAAAACTTTCTAAATGGTGTGTTTCTCTCTCAGCACACACTGACAGCTTAGACCGAACAATTCTTGTTAAACTTGGTATCAGTCGATCCCCACCGGTCATTTTCGGATTTCCTATTCCATTTTTCTAAGAGTTCGAAAGGAGGTCGAATGCATGGCGTATTCCGCAAGTAGCAGATGAAGCCGAAATGATTCAGAATCCATCCCTCAGAGAGTGGAGAAAAGCTCGTCTTCCACTGATCTCTAACACTAATGATTTGTTTAGAATTTCAATTCTCGTCTCTCTTTCCAGTAATCCCTGTGATATTATTGCAGCCGTTGGCGTGCGTATTCGCCCAGGCTGCACTAATCACAGTCTCTGCGATCAACAGTTTGTCTGACTCATTCCTGGTGTGTGTACCAGGGGTGATACAGCGCCTTTTGGGTTGCTTCTTGGTGTCGTGTTTGGCGAGCATCGTTACTCAATGACTATCACAGAGGAAACGCAAGTTCCCAGTCTTTACTGTTCCTCAAAGGGTTGATCATCTTTGTTTGTTGCGCTCCCAGATCAAATTATACACTCTACTGACGCGTTTTCAGAAAATAATTCTACTAAGCTCTTATTGGTAATACGGACTGCTGTTGGCTAAGGCCTTATCTCGAACTACTGCGCTAGTATCCGATGCATTTCATGCAAGGATCCTGAGCTTCTCTAAAACTGTTCATGTTTCGCTGATTGATACTGACCAGTCGACGCATTAGTTACACTCGTCCAACATGGCGCCAAGCTGTTTGCATCGCGAATGCTTTGTTTTGCTTATGTTGATATTTTTGCGAACTCCCATCGTTTGTGGGTAATGGCATTCGCATGCTAGAAGTCCTTATGATATGATTTCATTATTTCCGTTATTTACGATTACTCCTTTGATTAAGTACTTTACATGAGAATCTTCTCGCTCTCTATTCCTTCCTCTTATGTTCTCTCCGAATATTTTGTCACATATTTGGTCGTTTGAGTAAACATTTTTTTTTGGGCGTAGCATTTCCAATAGGGATATCAGTAAGATGAAGTACGTATTGCAAATTCATTTGAATCTTTCTCATTTCGTGAGGAATACCGAGAACATTAACAATAATCCCAGCTTTCCGCGATAACATTTAAGGTATTCTCGACTGTCTGTTACAACTTCTTCAGAGGATCCGAATGACACACTTCCTATTTTAGAGAGAGTCACTTGCATACCTAGACGTTCCGCTGCGACTCGGTCCCTGACGTGCCTAATTGCCGCGAGAATGGCCTCTTTACCGGGTATCCCCCTCATTACTTGCCCCACTCCCAATCAGAGGCTAAGTTTCATGCTGCGACTTTTCGCTTTGTCAATTCCAGCCTTTATGCTAGATACATCGATTTCTTGGTTGCTGTTTTGTTCCTGCCTCTGTTTTATCGTTTCAGACCCCGTAAAGCGAAAAAAATAGGAAAAAATCACCTTTGCCAGCTTTGCAATCCGACTGCAACAGGGTGGTCTCCTTCGGATTTCACGCTCTATCGATATCCAAGTGGGAGTAATGCGTGTGTTACTTGATTAAAGAAGTCTTATTGTAGCCCCATGCTGATGGTGAATTTTGATCTTATGTTACCAGAATGCATAATTGACACCTCCAGTTTTGCCTCCTCGTCCCAGCATATCGGCGCAGTTCCCACACGGTCTAGGTCTTGCCGAAATCTGAAGGCCATAGGAATGAATCACGCATATTGTAGATACTCCCATGTAACCATCCTCACTCCTATTGACTGTGTTAGACCCTCCACAGTTTCACTGAAGCTTCATCGAGAATACGCGTGATAACGTCTGAGCTGAACTGGTATATTGATCACAACTCTGTAAACATCCAGCATTTTTCTTGAATTAAGATAATTTAGCGGTGAATAGGATTGCTGTCAGTCTCAAAATCAAAACGAAATATGCCTATTTACATAAGTGAGGAGCTAATGCTTATCATTCATTTACATTCATCATTATTTAGAACCACGAAAGGATTAGCGGTTTAATGAGTTTGGGCTTTCTTATAGAAATGAAACTTATCATTTGCTGAAGACTTGTTTTTTAAAGTTTATGCAGTCGAATTCTATTAAGTAAGCTGGATATATATCGAAATAATGTGCACGTACCTTTGTTTGTACTACTACGACTTACTACAATTTGTAAGTAGGAACGCTCTAGTGTCAGCGCGAGCTGCGTAACGGAACTGACGACTTTTGCGTTCTGACGCGCCTTATCAGCCCTTATCAATCGTTATCAGTTTCTGGCACCCACCAACAATGTCCCGTCCCACCCCACATAACACTTGTAAGTATGGTTGCTCTGGTGTCAACGCGAGCCAGGCAACGGAATCGACGACTTTTGCGTTCTAGCGCATCTTATCAGCCATTATCAGTTGCTATCGCTTCCAATCATGTACCACCAATGTCCCGGGACCGCCCCACATAAGACTTGTAAGTATAGACGCTCTTTTACCAATATGAACGGCAAAACGAAATTGGCGATGCTCGCTTTCTAGCCCCTCTTATCAGCTATTATCAGTCGTATTTATCAGTTCCTATCACGTACCACTTGTGTCCCCATCCCACCCCCTATAACATATGTAAGAACCACTGCGCTATCGTTACTGTGACTCGAGCTATGAATTTCCGGTCAAACATACACACACACACCAACAGACACACGCTAGCCGCTTATATATAGTAGGATCTTATTATAGTTGTTCAATACAACGATTAATTTATATCAGTCAGATCTTTTTGCTTAGTATTCGAACATTTCTTCTGTTCAACACCCAGTTCTGGCCGCTTACATACATATGTCCGCCTCGAGTAACTATCTTATAGATAGTAGTGTCGTGGGGTTGAGCATCCGCTTTTTTATACGTTTCCTTGCTGAGATAGTTCACTGCCCGTTTTTAGAACACATTTACAAGAAATACACGCATGAATATTATTTGTCTGTGGATTCTCGCAATTTTTTGCCCTGTACGTCACTTTTACCTGTACTTAGTTTGGCGCTCTTGTCGTTAGGGGGGCATTCAATTGAGTGAGCCAGTTACACTACTTAGGACTAAGCCTTAGGGAGTAGAATGGATTCAGGGAAGTCCTTCCTAGCGTTTAACCCCTCTCTTGGGCCTGGTGCCAATGTCACCCCATCGCAGTTTTCGAAGATCCTCTGAACGTCTCCCCTAACAATAAGGATTTGTTTTAATACTCAGGTGGGCACATTCTCAATATACGGGCATCACATAGGACTAAGCCTCAAGGAGGGACCTGGGCTTCGAGAGAAGATGAAAATTGCTCATGTATCCGAGAGTTTCACCACGTTCACCTAAGCTTATTGTGAGAGAGGTAAAGAGTAGAATCTGGTGCAGAACAAGAGACCACAGGAGAACAGAGAGAATATACGGTGGCGAAAATACGGTACCTCATTGTCGGAAGAATATTTCGTATCTAGTAAATAGCTAATAAGTTGGAGTACTGGCTGTAAAAAAAAATCACTCCTCAACAAGAACGGTAGTAATCATCAAACCTCATCTCCCCACCCCCCCCCTCTCAGTCTTAGTAGAGGGCCTCAAATCGCTTGGGTGAGACATCCACAGTGGCACGCAGTGTCATCAAGTTCATCTCGTACCCCTTCGAGAGCAACTCATTGAAACTCTGGAGATCTCAGCGGCTTCCGTCGATTCGGATCCAAGCGTTCCGAACACGCAGTGTCGACCGAGTGCGTTCGAATCGTCGAAGCGTGAGAGTAACCCAGTGAAAATGATTATGTTCCAAATCCTGTCATCAATTTTGAACTTTCACGGTTTCATGAGTGGAATATCCACCCTGTTCAAACGCCTCAATGCTGTTCAAGAGCCCCGACATAAATCAAATAAAGTTGACTGCAAAATTTTATGTTAAACCACAATATCTTGGCCACCTCACTGATGAGCGAAAAACGTTGAGAACTCCCGGAATAGGCTTGGGTGACGGCCGTGGGTGGCTTCACCAATTCGACCCATGCAAAACAGTTCCCTAATCCTCCAAACCTTGATATCCACCACAGTCTTGTTCAATTTGAAAATTCTAGAAGATCACTGAAGAGAGCGTGCTGAAACAGCTTGTCTGTGCAGCTCCATGAAATTGTCTAGACAAAAAAAGCGAATTTACCTCTAAGGGAGATCCCTAGATTCAGGTGATAGGACGTAAATCGGAGAATAGGGCAGTATAAAAAGCAGCATGAGTAAATGAGAAGTTGAGAAAACGAAGATTCCGTAAGCACTCGCGGTTCGTGTAATTTTCGCCCACCCTGTAGAATATCCATTCAGAAGGAAAATCGAAAATTGATTGAGTTACCTAGATATTGGTGAGAATAGAAGATGTCGTAATCTCCGGTTCTCTTTATTTCCTTTCCGATTTCCTATTCTCCTATTCTTCCAAATTTCTGGGTAAAAACGAGGCTTGAAGGTGCACGTATTTCCCGAGATAAAAGCGGCCTTTCCGCAAAGAAGACTGCAGAATGTGCCCTAAAACTTTACTTTTCTTCAGTTCATTTACTAGAGCTGATACGAAAATTTGCTACTGTAGTGACGATGGCAATTTTTCCTTTTACAGCCGCTAGCCGTCTACATCGATTGGGGCTGTAGCTACCATGTAGCTGCCAACATTTTTCTAACTAGCTTCGCTTGGGTTTTGGGAATTTCTCATGCTTGGTTAATGATCACTGCATATTCTGCAATATCATGCAAAGACTATCTTATGGCTCTGATGAGTGAGAAGAAAGAAGTGTAAGTTAGCGCAACCACCTCCTTACCATTAGATAGCCTGCAAATGAGCTTACCAAGTAACTCCTGCAAAGTGAATTCAGTGAGCTCTATTTTAGAGTTATTGAACAACCAAAGGACTTTCAAAGAAATCTCGAAGTGAAGCCATCACAGCAGCCTCAAGTCACCATAGTTAGCCGACCAGAAATGGAAGGCGAGGGACGGAAAGTCAATATATTACCTTGAATAGAAATAAAAATCATGTTAAGATAGAGCTGCACGGAGCCTCATTTTGATCTGAATGCAAGATCACTTGTAAGGGTCTTAGGTTTTAGTTTTTTTCAAGTTCTGGACTTGAGCCTCAGAGTGTTCAAAGGCAAAGTTAAGGACCGAATTAACGTATTTTTGCCTTACCAGTAAAATGTGGATGTAACAGCAGCACTGAGGAGGAAAAACAAAGAGACTGTAGACAAAAACTAAAAGAAAGTCCCTCTCTCCAGTAGCGAAGTAGCGCTGATTTGTGAGGTGGACTCGATGGTGTGGGGCGGGCCAATGCTGGACCATGGCGCTGCCATCCCGACACTTGTGTACATCTCTCCGTTTGCGTTGCAGTGCTCGTACCTTTTTCGGGGGAAAAGCTTCGTTTCATTGGGGGGAAAAGCTTCGTTTTGAATCAAAAATCCAGGACTTTGCCTTCAACATGCGTTAAAAGCAAAGTAGTGGATAACAGCATAAGCGGTAGCGGTTGCAATAGTTCGATTGCGATGAAAGTAAAAGACAGAAGTGGTGCGCCGTTGAAGAAGAAATGATGAGAAAGGTGAGAAACCCGAGAAATGGGGTGCTTGTTTCTCTCACTGATTCAAAGCGAGGCAGTAACGCAGTAGCCAAGGGGCGCAAAAAGCGAGGTGTAGCTTCCTTCTGGCAAACCTCTGGCGGAGCTGCCCCCAGCTGCACCACTTGCGTCAGTACTCTCCTATCGTACCAACCGAGTTGAAGTAAACCGTCGACCGTTGGGGACCCCATCCCCTCCCCAACATTCAGCATACGGTCCCAGCCGAAACGCCAAAAGGGCTGGTTTGCTTACCTCGTCAGCGGCACCGCACCATCACTTTCTGTGTTCCGCCTCCGCCTATGCTCCGCCCACCGGTTGTTTCGCGAGTAGTAGCAAACTGGTTTTTCATTTTCAACGAGGCACATCACCTCGAGCAGCTGAATCCTTAATGAGGGCGATTAAAGGCAAAGGTCGGGATTAGTTGACCAAACCAACCCTTTCGGTCATGCCTGTACTTGGTTACGCACCCGTAGAGATGTTCCCACACTCAAAACCCGAAACGGCGCAGTAATAAGGCCCCAGGGCATGTACTATGCGCTATCGCCGCCTGGCCCCGCTACGACCGCCCACCTTGGGATGTGGTGCATGGCTGGCATAACGTGTGAAATCAGCTAGGTTGATTGCCGTATCAACCGATAGAACGACTGACATCTTCAGAAAACTTGTTTGTACGTGCCTCTTCCCCAAGCCAGCCTCCTTCACTGCTAGTGGGAAAGAGGGTTTTGTTAACGGCCTTGTCGACGGTTTTTCTCAGTTTTTTCTCCACTGTCGTTCCACTTCGCATCTCTATACTCAGTTTCAATCGCCATATACCCCCTTATTGAGCCCGACTTTTGCCTTTAAGCTGGCTTTCGAGGAGGGGCTTCTAGCCACGCGCTATCAACCGATAAGGTATTAGACAGACAATATTTGGACGAGCGTACCCCCCATGGAATACGATACCATAGATAAGAAGATACGGCTGCTTGGCAGGAGGTCTACTCTGGAATGAAAACTGGAAGATAACAACAACGGTATCATATCAAGAACCTAGTACAATTACAGTCATATTCGAAAATCTCTAGATCCAGAGCATTACTCATCGAGAAACCAGAAGCTGTACTCGCTAACACTTCTGCTGAGCCTGAACAGTGCCGGTTCCTTGTACTTCATCACCATCTCTCATCCTCATCATGAGACCCAATTTGTTTAGTTTCCCTTACTGTTCGAATTAGAGCACAAGTGTGGCTGTGGTGGAATAGTGGCTCCTCCCAGCAAACAATCAAATTTTCGCCTGGGAAGGAAACGCCCAGAGCGTGTGAACCACTGTGATGAGCAAGAGGGAGACTAAAAGAGTACTGAAGTAGAATGTTTCGTCATGATTCCGAATGTCTTGCGCTCTCCTTTTCCCCTCTTCCCCCCATCCCCACCCCCACCTCCCCCCCCGTCGTACTTGCATAGCGGAATCAATCTATTACTGTTTGAACACAACAATTTTTCGGCTATTTATTAGCGGTTGTGTGAATAAACTTTTCCTCATGAGAACAGGAAAAAACAGTAAACATGAAGGTTCATGAGGTCTAAATGGGACCTACATTGGAAGTAACTAACGATTTGGAAATTTTGATAGAGTTTGTGTAATAACTCTATCAAAATCTATCAAGAGGTTATACGAATTATGTATGTACAACAAACGCGGCTCGTCACAGACATAACGTTGCACTACACACTTTACAATTGCTTCACATCATCGAATTGCTTTCGAGCCTTTTTGAGTTCTTCACTCATCGACAGCAGATCCTGAAAATAAGGATTTGAGAGCAATGTTGGTAGAGTGCTCGTCCGCTACAAGACACTTACCTTGACCCTAGCAAACTTCTTCGGGTCTCTTCGAATCAAGTAATGAATATCCTCTAATGCAATCTTGTCTGGTTTGCCTACCTGAAATCTCGTTAAAACACAAAAATTACGAATTCTGGGAGTGAATACTGAGTGAGTTCAAAGGTACCGGGCATCCAAAACGCGATCGTCTAGAGCACACATTTTTTTCAAGAAACTTATTGGAAACAATCTCACCAGGAAATGTTTTGAACTTCCCATGGAACTTTGAAAGGAGACCTAGGTACATCGATAGAGTCTTGGACGCTGATTACAAATATGGACACTAAAACTGCTACGTGAACTTTGTAAGAAAGTTGTGAGCCTTAAAAGTTGCAAAAGAACGCTAATGATGAGGTGCAACCTATGTGGAAACACGGTTGCTTTTTGCCTGGAACTTGTTCTATAAGGGTAAATGGGTGCCCTGATTACGAATATGAGACTCGTTTTGGCGCAGAGCCATGGCGACTGTGATTCCACTGGGTAAGCTCGCCTCGAGCGGAAGTGGTGTAATGGGTGGTGAGTCGCCCGGGCCAACCAAGCCTTCCATCCCTCCGGGGTCGGTTAATTGGTACCAGACTTGTCTGGGAGGATAAAAACACTGACTTGTACATCGGCTGGCCCCCGCAAGTCATTGTATAGGCCACATCGCATTCAAACGCCACTACGAATGTACAAATGGAAGTAGAATGCGTGCCGCATCCCAAAAAGGGATTGATCAACGGCAAATGCTTTATCCTTTAAGCTCGCTTCAGCAAGTTTTTTGCCAACTTTGAAGGCTCATAACTTTCTTAGAAAGTTCACGTAGCAGTTTTAGTGTCCATATTTGTCAGCGTTCAAGACTCTATCGATACTCTAGGTCTCCTTCCAAAGTTCCATGGGAAGTTCAAAGCATTTCCTGGTAAGGATTGGGAATTTTCCAACTGTCTGCCCTAAGCTTTTACGGAACACCAAACCCGGTACGACGCGACGGTGCACCGCAGGCAATTCACTTGCAAACAACGATCAGCTTACTTCAGAACGCTGCGAAAAACACTAAATAGTTGAACGCTCCATCAATTTCTCAGGAGGGAACCTTATGAGGGTTGTTCTGCAACCTATAGGCTACAAGTTTTCAAACTCGTTCTTGAAAGATAAGGGGAATTACTATTCCAATTCTTATCCATCACTAAAAAGAGATGCCTTTCTCATTGCAGAGGAGACATCCCTTCATTTCACTGATGGATGGAAAAAATACATTTGGGGAAACCGCGTCTACGAGAGGATTTCTCTTCTTCTTTTGCCCTATCATCTACTGATCGTCCACCACTCCACAATTGGAGCAGGGGATCATTTTACTACAAATGAACCGCCACAAATTGTTCGGAATCATGGTGATCTTTGAAAGAAACTATATAAAAAATTGCTGCAAAATCACACGAATCACAAAAGTGCTCGCTCTAGTTGAGTACACTAAAGCCGCTTGGGAAAACGGTCTCACACTTGGCAAGCATGAGATCAAGTAATTCAGGCAAAATGACTAACATTCATAGCTCGCTCGCACAACTCCTTGATGTAGTCTAGAACTATTCCTTCCAGTGTTTCGAGCGTTTTATCATATGGTACCTGAACAATGCTTTTGCAAAACTTGAAAAGATCCACAAATTATAAAGTAGACAACGAAACAACGATCACAGCAAAATACCTTGTCATCTCCGAAACCATAGAGCATAGAACGGAGCTCCTTTCGGAAGAAGAATTTCTTGTCCTCTGGACTTCCCTTTTCTCTTTTATCATCATCGTCGAGATCTGAGCCGAAGAGATCATCGTCCTCATCCATTTCTGAAGTTCTGAACTGAGATACCTCCCAGAAATTATTCTAACTGGTATCGGTTCATCAATTCACGCGCAAAGGCACATATGGAGCTTCATCCCCGATGAATCACCAGACAAAAATAACCCGTTCAAATTTATTACGGATAAGCAGAGCAGACCATACACGAACTGAGTCTGCCCTTACACAGTGACATAAAACAAGTCCACATTCAACTAACTTATTGGAGTCAGATCTTACGGAGCAACAGCAACAAGCAACATCAGTCAAATAACGAGGTGTCATCTACACGGACGTGGAATTGTCATATCGGTAACGGTGTACCGTACACACGAGATTAGCCAAAGATGGGATTTGCAGCACAGGTCCAATCAAATTAGTCCCAGGAATGATTTTCGCGTAAAACACTCAACGGAAGTGGGAAAGCGAAGCGCTAGCGAATGAGATAT